AAATTTTATAATAATTTTTAATAAATTTTGTGTTTATAATATCATTTATGTATTTACAAGTATTTATTTTTTATATATTTTAGTAATATAAAATAAACATTGATTTTATGCTATGCACTTGCTAAAATGTATTATTTTTATCTAACGTTTTCATATTCTTAAATAAATTTTGTTCTTGGATCAAATTTTGAAAGTAAAATAATTTTTGTCATTTTTTTTTCACCGTATATTTTTCTCTACTTAATTTTTTTCTCTTATATCACCCTCTCTCTTCTTTTTTTATTATGAAAAATTTATTAAAATAAAAATACTTTCTTCTTAGCCTTGACGACTACACATATTCTTTTCAGCAAATTATAAATAAAATATAAAAAGTTATATTAAAAAAATATTTTAATAAATAAAATATTCAAAGTAGCTGTTAGACATTGACTTTTAAAAGTTAAATAAGATTATTAATAGATTTAAATATGAAGTAGTAAGATAGATGCATAATTAAGTGCAATTTAAAAAATCTACCATGATTTGGATTAAAGTTATTTTCAAAATAATAATAATAATAATTTAATTTGATTTAATAAAATAACTATTTTTATGTTTTTTATTGGATTTTTTTCCTTTTTAAATTTTCATTTTTTTATTTAAATTTTTACATTATTTCATGAATAATTTTGTATCAATAATATGATTGAAATAAATTAAATAGAAAAATCAATTTCAACTAATAATTTTTTATTATTTAGGCTGAGGTAGTTACTATTATAGATAAGATTTTCCACGTCAGCTCCGGAAGGTCTCGCAGTCTGCTCCACAACCGACGTTGTATTATTAGATTTATAATAAATTGATTATGAACAAACACGTGAAGATCCCAGTACCTTAGAATTGGAAACCGATACTCCAAACACTAAACTATTAGAATTTTTTTATAATAACTTACAAATAAATTATATTTATATACAAATAAATATATATTCGTGTAAATATAGAAATATAAAATATATAAATACAAATATATTTATATAGTTACGTATTTATATGTTGGATGTGAGGGCATACTCGAAGGTGAAATTGTATATCGAGTGAGTTTTCAAAATTTGAGGCCAAATTTGTGAGTGGGTCTCTTTATATGAGTTTGTAATTTAATGATAGAATATAATATTTATAATTTATTTATATAATGATATAAAATAAATTTGGGAAACACGTCATTCGTTCAAGCGACACATTCGCTCAAGCGAAAAATAAAAATTTTCGCTTAGCGAGTGAATTTTCGTGAACTTTAACGTATTTTCGCTCAATCGAAAGTTAATCTCATTTTCACCCTCGAGCGCGCCTCACATTCAACATATAAATATATATAAATATAAATATATATAAATATAAATATATATATAAATATAAATATATATAAATATAAATATATATAAATATATCAAAATATAAAAATATATTTGTATTTATGTATTTTATATTTATATATTTACACGGATATATATTTTTTGTATATAAATATAATTTATTTGTAAATTTTAATAAAAAAATATTAGTAGCTTAGTGGTTGAAATATTAATTTTTAACTCTAAGGTATTAATTTCGAATTTTGCTAGTAACAATTCTCTAATTTAAGTGAATTTTCGACTAAAAAAAATAAAAATATTCTCTACGTCATATAGAAAATATTTTCATAATAATTTGATCTTGATTTTTATGTATTTTTGAAAAGGTTCATTTTCATGTATTTAAACTATTTTTTTCAGAAAATTCAAACTTATGGAAATTGCATTAGGCCCCAATAGTGATTGTGACATTAAAAAGAAAAAACAAACATCTCACCATTTAGAATTTGGAAATTGTGTTGACATTTAAAATAAGATAACATTTAGTTCATGTGTATCGTACTATATAAACATCTTTGATAAACTGAAAATATTTAACAAATATATTATTCTTTATAAATTAATATTTTTTTGACAACTTTAATAAATAAATTATATTATTACCTTTTTTTTACTTTTTTAATTTGTCTAAATATTTGATTTAAATTAATAAAAAAGAAAAACTGTAATTTCTTAAAAATGTATACAAAAACTACTTTACAAATATTATTCTACAAATCAACTGAAAATATTTAACAAATATATTATTCTTTATAAATTAATATTTTTTTTACAACTTTAATAAATAATTTATATTATTACCTTTTTTTTACTTTTTTTATTTGTCTAAATATTTGATTTAAATTAATAAAAAAAGTAAAACTGTAATTTCTTAAAAATGTATACAAAAATTACTTTACAAATATTATTCTATAAATTTGTACATTTCCTAATTACATTAGTGTTTTGTCAAATCAAATAGAAGCTTTAAACTTTGTTTGGTTAAAAAAAAAATGAAAGAAAGAAAAAAAATACACAACCTCTTTAATATTTTCTCTTAAAAATGTCATTTTAATAATTTAATAAAGAAATTTAAAATTATAAGGGGTAAGATCATTAGTAAAATATATGTTTAACAATGTCACATGTAAATTAAATACTTGGAATAATTATAAATATGTGAAAAACAATGTCTGTTAGATTTGTGGACAATTATAACAGTTTATAATTCATATATTTTATTTACTTTAATTCTTTATATGATTTATGACCGTATTAAATTTTATCGATAATTTATGATATTACTTTATATATATAATGATTATTATTTTTATAATTATGGTTATATATTATTTTTAATAATAGTTTTATTATAAATTATTGTTCAAATATGTTCATAATTAAAAAAAATAGAGATGTCATATTTTTATGATGATAGTTGACTTGTAGAGACATGATGATAATTGAATAAATAATTATTATTATAGAATTGATTAAAAAAAATTATGATAATTCAAAATAATTATTAAATGTTCGTGTTTTTTATGAATATTTTAATATTAGATAAATTATTTGATGAAATCGTTAAATGAATTTAAAAAAACTTTATCAAAATTTTTTAGAATAATTTACTTAAAGATAATAGGTATAAACTTATAAAAAAAATCAAATAAAAGAAGAGTACTCGTTTATGTGTATTTATTTTATTAGAGTTAAATCTAATCATTTGAAAAGTTTACCAAAATCAAAATATTTATAATAGGTATTTTATATTATCAATTGTGACTTATAACGAGTAAATAATGTCATTTGTAATAAACTTCTTTATATAAGAAAAATATATTGTGATTGATAACGAGTAAACAATGTTATTCGTAATAAACTTTTTTATATAAGAAAAATAAATTTTTTTGTATAGGATTATAGAAAATACAACTTTTAAAGAGAGAACAATTGAATTTATGATGAGATGATCTTTCACTTCTTAAATGATATATAATAACTTTCTTAACGATAGTCTAACTTAGAGAAAATTTTAAAGGTTTTAAAAAACATTAAAATTATATTTTACAATAACTTTATAAATATTACATATGAAAATAACTCATTTTATAAGAGCTTGTTTAAGTTATAATTGTGAATGGTAAAGATAATTATGAGAATAAATTCATACAAATCCTATCCTATTTACGTGTTTTTAATTTTACGTGTTTTTAAGGATATGTTAAAGAGAATATTAACTTCTTTGAATCGTCAGAGACAACTAAATCTGTCGAAGAATGAGTTTTATCAGGTTCACTTGATTTTAAGAGGAACTTTTTGACTCTATATGAATAGAGCTCATTCTTAAAAATAATATTATTTATTGTACGTCATTCATAAAACGGTCTAATGTACATTTGTGTATATCGTCTTTTCTTTATAGATAAAGATCTTATGATCAAGTAAATTTGAAAGTTCTGGTAAAGCATCTAAAGAATATTTGTTTTTTTATCAAACACGTCTTATATATTTAAGTCTTAAATAACTCAATGAATAAATAATTTATTCAAATAAACTGGCTAGTCTTATTAAAGAATTTTGAATGTAAAAACTAAGATTCTAATGTTAAAAATTTTCATAGCTTCATTTTAAACTTTGTTAAAAAATTATTGTGAATTGACCTGTTTGTAGGCTTCTGGTAACTACCAATGATAATTTTATATGATTGATTATAAACTATTTTAGTCTTACGTGATTGAAGAGGATATTATTTTATTTTGATCATGAGAAAAATGTTGAGTAAAATAATATTTAAAAAGAGATAATATTTCATTTTATTTCACGATTATTGGTAATTTAGGAGTTTAAAGAATAAGTTCACTGCACATCTTCTGTGAAGATATATGATGAAAGTTAATGTTTTTATATCGGTTGATAAATATATAAAAATATTTTGACTTTGTATTCATTAAAAGGAAAATAAAATAAATCTAAAAATTTAAAATTATTATTATATTAAAATATTTAAACATATTAATTAAATATAATTAAAAATATATAAACAAAAAATATATAGAATTTATTAAATTAAAATAAAATTTATTTATTTTCATTTAGAGTTTTATAAAAAAATGAATTTTCTATAAAAATATATTATTAATGTAGATACTAAAATTTTAAAATTAATATTTAACATAAAAATGTTAATTATATTAAAATTCATAAAAAGTACAATATACATATATTATAATATAATTAATATATTATATTATTTTATAAAATAAAATGAAAATATAACAAAATAACGTGTTAATAAAAATTGAATCATCCCGTTGAATCGCATTCAATTTAAACCATATCCAAGGTTTTTTTTTTTTTTTTTTATATAAAAAACAATGACACTAAATTAAAGCCGTGCATTCAAAACTGATCCACATCCGACTTATAAGCTACGTTATTCTCTCTCTTCTCCCTTGTAGGTAGGACCCACTTCCAAGTGAGCGAAAAACCAAAACTCCCTTTTGGCATCCGCCTTCTCCCAATCCTGTTCTGAACGAAATTTCAATTCCAGCAAAACCCTAATTCCTCTCTCTTCCACTCCGAGATCTTCACGTTGTAGGGTTTTCTTAACCTTCCACAATGGTCAGTGTTTTTCCTTCTCTTATGATTCCTGTTTTTTTTTTCTCTGTCGGCTCAAATTTTTTAACTATACTCAGTTACACAAAGTCTCTGTCTATAGCTTGTTCTTATATTTTTGTATTTTATTTATGTAAATATTATTTCTTGCTATCAGAGCTTTTGAGTATCACTTTTAACCGGTTTGAATTTTTTATTTTTATTTTTCTGAATAGAACTTAATGTTGCAATAATTGATGAGATACTTTAAAATGAGATGTCTTAAATTATAAGATTTGTGCTCGGAATATTCATGCTGTGTATTATGATATGGGGCATGATAATATGTGCGAATTTATTTTTCTGATCTGAGCTACAGCACAAGTTGGGAAGAGGTCATCGCGACAAACTCCAGCAGTTCATAACTATAACCGGAGCCAGGTGATCTCATAGCTGCATGTGATTTATTTTGTTTCATTTGAAGGTTTGAAATTACAATTTTGTTACAATTTTTGAAATAGCATACAATTGAACTATGCTTCAATTGATTTCACTTATCCTTAGGATGCATGGGATTTATTAATCTAAGTGTTAGAATAATTAAGTCTCTATATGTAGAGTAATTATTGTGTGTATTTTGGTCTTTCATCTCAATTGTATTTAGAGTGTGCCCTTGGTCTTTCATCTTCTTTTGATCTTCCATCTTTATTTTATCATATTTGTTATCTTCCATCTTCCTATTGTATTAGATTTTCATCATTATAAATAGAAGATCTTAAGAGAGGATCTCATATGCCCTCCAAAATATATATTCTCTTTGTTTTAAACTTTACTGGTATCAGAGCGGGATCTCGCTTTACTGGTATCAGAGCGGGATCTCGCTTTACTGGTATCAGAGCGGGATCTCGCTCTATTGGTCTTAGTCATCTGCAACACGTCCTTAATGCTGTCATCGCCGACCACCATAGTTTTTGCCGGTAACCATTGGATTTGAAGCATCTCTCCAGGCGACGGCAAATCCCGCCAGTACCGAAGGCTAATTGTTCCCCACGCACTGCTAGGCACGTGAAACCCACGTGCCGCCTTTCTCTTGCCAGAAATCCGTCGTGTAGGGATGACAATACTGGTCAGCCCGCCCCGCCTTTGGCCCACCAAAAGTAGGGCGGGGTGGGTGGGCTAGCCTACTATAGTCATGGTGGGCTACGGGTCTCGGCTCTGTCCGTCGAAGGGTGAGTTGGCGGGCTGACCCGCCATATTTTTTATTTTATTTTATTATTTTTAAATCAAATCTTTCAATAATTTTAATAATAAAATTATCATCGTCAACAATTCAATATATATATATATATATATATTTCAAGTTAATAATATAAATTGATTTATTATTTTAATAAATTATATTTTAGAACAATTAAATTAAGATACAATTTATATAATAATAAATACATGTATGTAACAATAAAAAAATATTTTTATATTGAAAAGTTTAAACATTTAAATGAAAATTACATTATATTTATTTAATAAAACTTCACATTGTTCTACCATTGAGTAATTCTCATGTCTTCATTCAAAACAATCAATGTCCAGGATGATTAGATGCAATATTTGAAGATCTTTCTAGTTTTCCATCTTTGTCATAAATTTTTATATTATATATTGTCTTTCTGACTCATTGTATTACTATATAAAAAAAAATATTAGTAAAGCAGACTGCGGGCTAGCACGCCCTGCCCCGCGGGTTGGCGGGCTTGGCAAATGACTCTAAAATTTCCTCGAAGGGATTCAGTCAAGTTTACTTTTTTCCTTCTCTAAATCTCAAATTTGTCCTTTTTGTTCCTAATTGCCCTTCAAATCTGATTTCATTAAGCCAGTTAACCAAAATGTTTAATTGTTCAATAACATTTGATAACAAGTCCTTTGTTATACAGGAGGGGAATTTCGGGAAGATGAATTGGAGAAGGATATGAAGTTGGAGGTTTATACCATTTTGGATCGAGTCCACATGTGTCCAATGTTGCATCTCCAAGTCCTAAACTATTACATGATCGGTTATGCCATCCCCACTTGTCAAAATTGAAAACATTGGTCCCTGAGCTTAGTAGTCTCCAGACTTTTGAACGTGAGTCATGTCAACTAGGAAAACATGTTAGATCTACCTTTCCTACAAGGTCTGAATCAAGGTGTGATTCTAGTTTTTCTATTATTCATTTTGATATGTGGGGACTAAGTCGTGCCTCATCTTTTGGCTTTAGGTATTTTGTTACGTTCATTGATGAATATTCGAAGTGTACTTGGGTTTATCTTACGAGAGACCGTTCCGAAGTGTTACCTATATTCACGTCCTTTTTAAATGAAAAGAATCAGTTCGGTCAAGTAATTAAAATTTTAAGAAGTGACAATGCCAAAAAGTACTTCTCATATGATTTTTCTACCATCTTAAGTTCACATGGTATATTACATCAGTCAATTTGTCCTTATACACCATAACAAAATGGTATATTAGAAAGGAAAAATAAACAATTAGTTGAGACTGCTCGTACCCTTTTGCTTGGTGCTATAATTTTCATCCATCATTGGGGAGATGCTATCCTAACTGTCTATTTTCTTATTAATAGGATGTCATCCTCTCTCTCAATAATAAGGTTCCCTTTTCCACTTTTTTTCCAAATAATCCTTTCTTTCACATTTCTTCTCGTGTATTTGGTTGTGTATGCTTTGTTCATGACATGTCTCCAGGGTTAGACAAACTATCTACTCGTGCTATCAAATGTGTCTTCTTGGGTTATTCTTAACTTCAAAAAGGGTATCCGTGTTATTCTCCTGAAAACAAGAAGTACTACATGTTTGCTAATGTTACATTCTTTGAAAAAACTACTTACTTTTCTTCATTTGGACAAGGTGTTCATTTCATTCAGTAGGTTCTTCCTATACCATTAGTTGAGTATAGTATATCCAGTTCCAATCCCAATCTTGATCAAAATCCTCATGAACCATCATTGCCACCTATTGATATCCACCAACATGGAACCCAAACCACCAGTCCAGTTATCTAGGAACAAGGTTAATCCTCTACTTCGTATCCCTCTCCATCGCCACCCAATACCACGACTCCTAGTGAAGATGATTCAAGCTATCCCATTGCTTTCAAAAAAGGTACTCGTTTCACTCGAAACTCACATCCTATTTATAATTTTCTTAATTATCACAGATTGTTGTCTTCCTATTGTTCTTTTCTATCCTTAGTGTCTTCTATTACTATTGCCAAAAAATGTGAATGAAACACTTGATCATCTTGGATGACGACAAACCATGATAGCACAAATGCAGACTCTTGACCAAAGTAATACTTGGGAACTAATTCCCCTTCCACATGGGAAAAAGATCATTGGATGTCGGTGGGTCTATACCATTAAAGTTAGTCCTAGTGGTGAAGTCGATCGTTTGAAGGCACGATAGTTGCAAAATGATACACTCAAATTTGTGGGCATGATTACAATGATACTTTTTGTCCAATGGCCAAGATGACTACGATTCGCCGCTTCTTTGCCATGACAACAATTCGTCATTGACCACTCTATCAATTGGATATCAAAAATGTCTTTCTACATAATGATCTTGAAGAAGAAGTGTACATGGAGCAACCCCCTAGATTTGTTGCTCAGGGGGAGTTTGGTAAGGTCTGTAAGTTGCACCACTCTCTCTATGGTCTCAAGCAATCACAACGCGCTTGGTTGAGTAAATTTAGCTCAATTTTTCAAAAGTTTGGGCTAAAACACAGTGAAGCAGATAATTCAGTTTCTTATAATACCTCTCTTGGGAAATGCATTTACCTAATAGTCTATATTGATGATATAGTCATTACAGGAAATGATGCTGCTGGAATATCTCAATTAAAGGAGTACTTGTGCAAACATTTTCAAACCAAAGATCTTGGGACTCTCAAATATTTTTTGGGCATTGAGGTAGCTCAGTCAAACGATGGGGTTATAATCTCTCAAAGAAAGTATGCTCTTATATCCTATAAGAGACAGGTATGCTTGATAGTAGGCCAGTAGATAGTCCTATGGACCAAAATAAAAAATTAAAGACAGAAGGTGAGTCATTCCTTGATCAGAAAGATATAGGCGGCTAGTTGGAAAGCTAATTTATTTTACTATCATGAAGCCTGATCTATCTTTTGCAGTTTGAGTTGTTAGTCAGTTAATGCATGCTCCATGTATTGGCCATTGGGATGCCATCATTCGCATTTTAAGATACTTTAAAAAGGCTCCATGATAAGGTTCGCTATATGAAGATAAAGGAAGTGTCTAAGTCTCTGGGTATTGTGATGCTGATTGGGCAGACTTCTCGTTGATAGACGTTTTACTACGGGATATTGTGTTTTCCTTGGAGGAAATATTGTTTCCTAGAAAAGTAAGAAGCAAAATGTAATGGCCCGATCAACTATCGAAGCTGAATATAAGGCAATGACATTTCTTACTTGTGAACTTATATGGGTAAAACAATTCCTTCGAGAGCTTAATTTCTATGAAATCCAGATTATTAAGATGTACTGTGATAACCAGACTGCTTTTCACATTGCGTCAAATCCAGTATTTCACGAGAGAACTAAACACATAGAAATTGATTACCATTTTATTTGAGAAAAATTATTGTCCGAGGAAATTTGTACTGAGTTTGTTAGGTCAAATGACCAACTTGCAGATATGTTGACCAAGTCTTTAAGGGGACTTTGAGTTGATTTCATTAGTTTCAAGCTTGGTACATACAATTTGTATGCTCCAACTTATGAGGGAGTGTTAGAATAATTAAATCTATTTATGTTAGAGTAATTATTGTGTATCCTTTGGTCTTTCATCTCAACTGTATCTAGAGTGTGCCCTTTGGTCTTTCATCTTCTTTTGATCTTCCATCTTCCCTGGATCAGATTTTTGATCTTCCATTTTCCCATTGTATCAGATTTCCATCATTATAAATAGAAAATCATAAGAGGGATCTCATATGCCCTCCAAAATATATTCTCTTTGTTTTAAACTTAAGTCTAAGGAAATTAAAACATTTTCAGATAAAAAAACAAAAACATACATATAGGCTTTCAATCCTAGTTTAAACACATTAACTGGGTATCTTTTGTAAGATTGATTACTTTGATAGATAAGTGTGGGAATAAAGCATTTCTCTTAAACTTAGAAACTTCAATTTTATTGATTCTTTGTCATATTGAAAATAGAATTACAATGCTCTATTTAAACACTTCTCAAGTACTCTCTAGAAATCACAACATTAACTCCCTAGAAACCAAAATGTCTCACAATAATGCTTCTTAATAACAACAACTTCTAAACGTTCAAAAGCTTTCTAGTTCCCGAAACTATTAGGGGAACATTTCTAACACCAATTATTAATTTTATCCTAACAATCCCCCCCCCCCAACGGTAAAATTAATTCTCTGCATTAAAGAAAAACTTGAGATCAACTTCACCCCGACTTTCGACTAGCCTTGATCTTCAAAAATAAGATCGACTTGATTTCAATCACCCAATTATCGACTTCAAAACTTTTTGGCCTTCAAAACATCTCGGACTTCAAACTTTCAAGCTAGCTACTAGTCGACTTCCAATCTTCTTATTTCTACACCAGTCACTGTTTGAATACCCATTTAGTCGATAATAGTCCGTCCTCTTTGTCCTTGATTCCATGGGGTTGATACTGAATTATAATTGGTCATCTTAAACTTGACATCCACCTTGGCTAGCAGTTTTTCATCTCTTTTCTTCTGACTTAGGTCGGTCAAAGACCGACATGAAAGTGTCGGCTGAATAACTATCTGCTTAATTCCAACAGCTCGATTATATCTCTCATCTTTCTTGAATACCTGCTTAACGCCAATAGGTCGAGCATAGCTTGGTAATTTAGTCATCACCAACGTACCATAATAGCTCGAATCTTCTCTTTAACATTTCTCTGAAGTGGGGTCCTCACCTGATTACTGACTACTCCATTGTAAACTCTCTCCTTCATGTCATTCGCCTTCTTACCAATCTCTTCTCTGCAAACTCTGACAAGAGCTGGTGGCACATCAGCTCGGTCTACTTTCGATTGTTCCCACTTCCACTCACTTGCATCACCAACTCGGATAATATCATGATTATCATCATGAATCAACTTGGTTAAACCACAAAAATGCATGTGAGGATATAAGTAATTTACCTTCAATGTGTCCTCTACATTTGATCTTAGACTCCTCCCCAAATGCTTCTTAGCTGTAACTTGAACATTCTATTCTTTTCCATTTCGACTTGGGCCATCAACCTTCCAAACTTGTTCCTCAACTGAAGCACTCAGTCTTTCATGAAAACTGTGTACCCCTTCTCCATCAATTGTCCTATACGCAAAATGTTACTTTTGAAATCGGGAACATAGAACACATCTTGGATTGACCCGACTAGGCCATCCTTCTGCAAATAGCCGATTGTGCTTCGACCTTTTACTAAGACTCTCGAAGCGTCTCCAAACGAAACATGATCACCCTCATATTTCTCCAATTTGCTGAATAGGTGCTCGTCTCCACACATATGATTACTTGCACCTGTTTCTAAAAACCATACTGACTTGTGATTGATATCTTCCCGAATTCTGTCACTACAAATTCTCGTGTTAAGATTGGCCATCAAGAATGTTACTATGTTTCCTTCTCTGCAAGATAGGTCTCATCCACCTTTTGATATTCTTTCGCATAATGCCCCTCCTTTACACAGTTAAAGCATTTTCTCGAGTAGTAGTCCTTCGCATAATGACCATACTTGCCACACTAGAAACACTCGACATCTTATTGGTTCTTTGATCGACCTCCTCTCGGTCCACTACCTCGTCAGTTTTGCTGAGCCCCCTCTTCCTTATCGTCACCTCGGCCACCGAATCCACCTTGTCTAGATCGACCATTACGTCCTCTTCCTCTATTATTTTGAGAATAGAGTGTCTTCTCCTTGTTATAGAGCAGTTTCACACTCGTCTCCTCATCCTCTTTGTTCTTCTTCATTCGGTCTTCATAGACTTCAAGAGAACCGATCAACTCCTTTATTGTAAGATTGGACAAGTCCTTTGCTGATTCTATCGTGCACACTACATTCTCAAAGTTATATGGTAATGACCTCAAGACCTTTTTAACAATTTGTTCTGTTGAAAATGTTTCTCCATTTTGATTTTTTTGGCCACATTTTCAACACGCAATATGTATTCGGAAACCTTTTTCGATCCCTTTTTCTTCATGCTGTCCATCTCACTTTGTATTGTCTGACGCGGAACTTGAATGACTCAGTCATCTTTCTTGTGCTCCTTCTCCAACTCATTCCACATATCGGATGTCGACTTGATTCCTATGATCTTCTCGAAATCAGAATATTTTACAGCTCGAAACAACAAAAACAGAGTTGCACTATTCTTCGAACGTTTTTCTTTAAACATTTTGAGCGTGTTGGCCAATAACCCTACCCTTCCATGGTAGCTGGTTCTTCATAGCCATCCTTTACTACATCCTAACAGTCTTAGGCTGTGAGGAGAACCTTCGTCTAGGCATTCCACCTATCATAACTGACATTATTTTTCAGTCGGGGTACAAATGCAGCAACATTCATCAGATTCGCCATCTCACTTTTTAAACATTCAACACTAAAACTTTAGCTCTTCTTGAGAAACCTTCAACTCTCTCTCTTATGAAGAACTCTAGTTCTTCTTAAACAACAACCCAAAAACTAGGCTCTCCCTTAGAGTTCTGATACCAATTTGACAACAAAGAATTTCTTAGAAACTTAGAAACTTCACTTTTATTGATTCTTTGTCATATTGAAAACATAATTACAATGCTCTATTTAAATACTTCCCAAGTACTCTAGAAACCACAACATTAACTCCCTAGAAACCAAAAAGTCTCACAATAATGCTCTTCAATAACAACAACTTCTAAATGTTCAAAAACTATCATAGAAACGCTTCAAACACCAATTATTAATTTTATCCTAACAAAGTGTGTATTCTAGGCAGAGTTATATTTTCTAGTTCAACTGATTTGCTTCATATGTCTTGTTGATGATCATTCTCTGCAGGCTACTATATCAATTATACTTCATATTATTTCTCTGTTGTTTCAGCTGAATTATTTGTTTTGGGCATACTTTTTGAATTTGTATGATGCAAGTCAACCGCATCTTTAACTTCTGACATATTTGAAAACTATTTTTGTATTTTCAGTGAGAAAACAGCATTGCAAGCTCTGAAGGGTAGTGATTGGAATCTTGAAGGAGCATTTGATTTCTTTTATAGCCAACCCCAGCTTAAAACATTTACTGACTCTAGACACTTGGAGGAGCTATACAATAGATATAAAGGTATAAAGGTTATCTATGAAGTTGAAAGTAAAACTGAGACTGATATTTTTTTAATATGGTCTGGTAAGCACAACTACTAATTGGTCTGGAAACATGAAAATCGACCTAAAAAACGATACTGTATTTTGTTTAAAATTCTAATCAACCATGGAATAATTTTTCTATTAGATGTGGTTTCACCCTCACCCTAATGAATAACAAGTAAATTTGGCTACATAATTTATTGGTTTTTTGAGGACCATGGTGTGTCGTCCTTATTTCAAATTAATTACTTCTTGTTAATTAAACTTGGAAGCATTCTTAGAGTATCATGGAAATTAGAACCGATTCCCCAATGTTGCTGTTCCTTTACCTGAGCATAAGGTAGATTGGATATGAGATCCAATAACTTTTGTGATATGGTCAATGCAGTTTATATTTGGCTGAGATGCTTGTATGGACATTATTGGTTGTTTATTTCTAATTTATTGAATAATTCTCTTGGTAAATGGTTATCATTTACTAGAATAATGTACATTATGGCCCGTCTTCTAATCCTTTATTGTACTGATTTCTATACAGATCCATATGTTGATATGATTTTGGTAGATGGCATCACTCTCCTTTGCAATGATATCCAGGTTGCTGTTTCTGAATGCAAATTAAGTCTTGATTTGTTATCTTTATAGTTTACAGTACTTGCCTGTATGAGCCTGTTGTAAAGTTGTGAACAGTGCTTGCAAGTTGCTAGCAGTGATTTTGGAGGATTGATTATTGTAAGATGTGAGCATTTCAGTCATTAGTTCAGAGAGTATTGTTGTCAAATGCTGTAGGGATTTTGGATTTGGATTATTGTAAGGCATCCAAGATCTATTACTGGTCATCATAATAAATGAGTGTAGTGGTGGTAAAGAGAAAACAAAAAAACATAGACTTTGTACAGAAGATATGCATGATATATGTTGACATCACAGGTTTATTTCTTAGAATTGAACTTTATTATCCTCGGTAGTATTGCTTGGATTAGGAGTAGTTGAAACATGACGACATGTAGTTCAAAACTTGAGACCCATGTTTAAGTTAAGATGGAAAGAGTACAATAGGAATAAATTAAGACTAAAGGGATATGTGAATGGCTAGGAGTGTGTCATTTTGCGCTGTGATTAGAGACAAGTAAAAGAAAAGTTTAGAATAGAATGGTATCGAATTAGAAAGTTTCATATTTTGTTCCATCTTATTTTAAATAATTCAAATAATGAAACTTGTTATTCCATTTAGTTGCACTTTATTTTATATCTTCTCTTCAATTTGAACATAATTGTAAAATTCTTCCAAGAAGAATAAAAGTGAATCCTGGAAAAATGAGGGTTGTTTATCTCTACATGAAAAGAAACGTGTCATTTGTCAAAACACAATGTAAAATAAGATTTTAGTCCAAAAAGAAAGCTAAACAAATTTTTAAGTTAAAAACATTGTATAAATACTAAGACATGAAAGTCACGAAACACATTATTTATCAAAATAAAATAAGCTACATATCAAAATAAATAAATATATAAAATTAAAAATATGTAAAAAGCTTGGAACCCGCTAACACATTTGAAAATATTAGGTACCATATGAAATTATGCACTTTTTTGTTTTTAACTGTCTATAAATATGATCATTATTCTATTTAATATATCCAACTGTAACCTGAAGTTTTCAAAATGTACCTTTTTTATGAATTATATATATTCATAGCAGCAGACATCATACTTGTTTCCTGCATTAGGTTTATGCTTGTTAGAAATCTCAGTTTCATAGTTCTTGATATGCATATGGAATTCTGATGTATCAATAATATCTTATTAATGTTTCCAGTGTTCTTGAGTTTTGATTCATTTGAGGTTGATATTGGTTTTGTTCGAAGTGTGATTGATGTTTGAATCTACTTTTCATTTGCAGGTGGATCCACAAGATATAGTTATGGTATGGATATGATTCAAACATTATTTAATTTCTACATCATGCTTAATTGCTTGGGTTTATTTCCTCTTTTACTATAATTCTGTTTTAAACTATAGAAGACTGCTATTTAAAATAGTGATTTATCCAAGTTACGAAAACTCATTTAATGAGAATGCTTATTATGAAAATATTGGAAGTAATTCTGGTTTTCCAAGGGTGCCTTTCTTTTATTGTGAGTTATATACATGGCTAATAAGGTGTAATAGATGGAATGCATAGATGTCTACAATTGTTTCACCATCAGCATTTTCCTTTGTGCAAAGCTCAAAATTTATGAGCTCCGTCAAATATAATCCATAGCAATAAGAGTCTGTTTCAAGGAAATAAAATAAAGAATAATAATGCTCTGTCTCATTTGTGTTACTGGTTGATGATTGGTTCCTGCATTACAACAACAAAATATGCAATATTTGTGATTGAAGAGTTTATAACTAGGAATGTTGAAATGAGAGTGTATGTGGAAGACTTGAGAATGCTTTAATTAACTAAGAATGTTGAAATTTTTTCAGTTAGTTCTTTCATGGCACATGAAGGCTGGCACCATGTGCGAGTTTTCCAAGAAGGAGTTTATTGAAGGTTTACAATCTTTGGGGTATGTAATTTTTGTGATTTTGAAATGATTTTTGTTCTGAAGTGGCCCTGTCTCAGCTGATGAACTGAAAAATTTGTTGCAGGATTGATTCTCTGGAGAAGTTCCATGAAAAGATACCATATATGCGCTCTGAGCTGAAAGATGAACGTATGAGCATTAGTATACTGATTATAGTTCAAAACTGTTTTAGTCATACAAATTATAATTCATGTCACTTGAAATTATCTCCAGCAAATTTTGAAAAGATCCCTGAATGTAATCTCTGTTTTTTACTGTCCAGAGAAATTCCGTGAGATATATAACTTTGCTTTTGGCTGGGCAAAAGAGAAGGTATGTCTTGATGTGTACTTGGCCCCTCTGCTCCTCTGTAATATAGCTTAAGTGCTTAACTAATTTGTATGACAGTAAGTTCTAAACTATGACCATCACCTAATTTAAGCATTGCATTTTGACGTAATACAAACTACTAGTTCATACCTAAGATACGAACTGGGATGGAACAGAGAAGATATTGGGAATCTGAGTCCAATTATAACGAGTATGATTCATGGATTAATAAAAAAAGAGTTACTCTCAAAAATTATTTTGTGTTCCTTTATTTTGGAATTTCTGGTATATATTTTCAAAAATTATTGTATGTTGAATGGCAATCAAAGTTTGAAACAGGGTTTCTGGTTTTCTTATATAGTCAGCCAAGTGATCCCATTTCTTCTTTCTGGCTTGAGGTTTAAGATGCTGTCTGCTATTTCATTTCTAGGCTTCCCATTCAGATTTTCTGGTAAAGGATTTTAATGGCTAAATAAAAAATTTGGTCCTAACAAACTATATTGTTTTTTCATTTTAGTCCCGCATAAAAGATCAGAAACACATCTGTTCTTGCTTTTTCAATTTTGACAAACGGACTGATTTGCAAACATGCTTTTCACGTAAGATCCAAATTGTAGAGCTTTTTTCTTTTAATGTTGGCACCAAAACAAAGTAGTATTTTGAACATTGCTCATTTTCAATATCTGATAGCTGTAATTATTTATATTCAAAACTTCAAATAACATATTGAAGTATTTATTATTATTATTATTAATGGCTTAGCATTTCATTCTTTTGGTGGACCCACTTACTGTGGCAGGTATTTAGGAACTTCAATGCTTATGTACCTGAAAAAAATAAATGTTCTACAGTCTTTCCCACGTTGAATAGACTATATTAATGACTTTATATTTCGTATGAGGATCACGGGGTTTGTATTTCATCCACTACCAATAATAGACATGATGTTAACACTCTGCATGATTGTACAAGATATTGGAAGTGTGGGGTGCGAAATGGGTTAGTGTTCTGACTCTTGAAAGGTAGGAAAATCAAAGTAGGATGCGAATGATTTATTTGCCTCCAATGAGTGATTTGATGCTAATTTGTTTTGGTATACCTTGGCATATGTGAGACCCAGGACTGACACTGAGCATCTAGGGTTGGGTGTAAATTCACTGTTGATTTTATTACTGTTTTGATTCTTTCGTTTTGAATGAGCAACAGTAATATTCAAGTTACCTTTTTGCAGGGTCAAAAGTCTCTTGCGTTGGATACAGCTATTGGTATGTGGCAATTATTATTTGCTGAGAAGCAGTGGCCACTGGTTGATCATTGGTGCCAGTTCTTGCAGGTTTAATTATTATTCCATACACCTTTTTTAACTTTCTTGAGTATGAAAGTTTCTTTTTGGATGGCTTTTGGTGGTAGATCAGATATCTTCTATTACTTATATTGAAAATTTTGATACTGCTTAGGCTCGGCATAACAAAGCAATTTCTAGGGACACATGGTCTCAGCTTTTGGAGTTTGCAAAGGTAAACTAATAAACTGTTAGACCTTAGAATGAACTTCGTACGTGGGTGCCCTCATAAGATGTACACTTCCTGTCTTGATTTGGATTTATTGTTGCATGAACATAAAATATTATAAAGGTTAAAACTCTTTTAACTGGCAAAACAAAAGATTCTCGAGATCCTTAATTTCAATTGAAACCCTGATCTTATTGCATTTTACATCAGTTGTTGCTGTAGTAATATCCACATGAAAAAGTCTGATGTTAAAATTTTATTTTCTTTCCATGTTGATCCTTGCTTTTACTTCAAAATGTTGAATGGTATTTTTTTCGTGGTACCTGTCGGTTAGTTTTACAAATACTTCTTCCTTCTATTGAGTATGGTTTTTATGCTGACAAATTAGTATTATTATAAGCCATTTGAGTTGTAAAACTTTATCTTCATGTTCTGGCCACGCACCTTTTTGATTTAAGGAACTCCTTTTTGCTTGTACTGTTTTTGGAAATGATAATGCTGGTGAAACTTTTTATAGTGGTGTTTTGATCATAGTAAGCTGTTCAGCTTTATGAAGTAATGTAAAAATCACTGATATTTGTCATGTTCTTTGCAGATTGTTGGCCCAAATTTATCTGATTATGATGCTGAAGGTGCCTGGCCATATCTTATCGATGAATTTGTGGAATATCTGAACGAGAATGGCGTCATCCAAAATGGTCTGATCAATGATTCTAGTCTAAAACGATGATGCATTCAGATTTCAGTCAACTGCTATTTAAGAGAATATGATTGATCTCTTGTGATGAGTTGTGCTATTCTGTGATTAAATTCCTCTTTGTTATTAAGTGGGATTAGTCTAAAATTCATTAGAGGACATGGCTGCTAGAGCAAACTCATTCTTGCTGACAAGTAGTAGCATCGTTTGTGAGATTTTGTTGATATGGCATATGAATTATCTTGGGAATATTGTGGAATTAGTTAGGGAGCTACTGATTCCACGGTGTTATAGTTTCTGGTCTCTTTTAATTTAATAATTAATTCTTGTACGATGTCTTGTTAGATAAGATACATATGTGATTGTGATCAGCTATCCTTCTTTCTGCACTACTTTCATCTTGTAAAATATGTGGCACCGAGCTATTAAAACATTCATGAAATAGAGAAGGGGGAAAGATAACTATTATGTGGCTCTCTTTCCCTTTGGTTATTTAGAAACACTACCTTGCATATTAGTTCTATGAACTCACTCTTATGGTTTGTTTATTTTTCATTTGGTTATTTAAAACGGTTCGATATAAGACAAATAATATTATATGTACAAGTGATGGGTAATCCCAAAGTACAACATACTTTGATGTCTCTTATGTCTTTTTCACTTTTGATTTGGTTATTTAAAACTTTTGATTTGGTTATTTAAAACTGATCGATCTATGACAATATACAATTGATGGCCAGGGCAGAACTAAAAATTTTAAACGAGGTAACGTTTAAAAATAAATATATTATATACAATTATTAAAAATTATAAATCATCTATGTATATATATAAAGTTAAATATATTTTAATTATATTTGATAATGTTTCATATTATAAAAATCATTGATTATTTTTCGATATAAATAATTATATATTTTATCTTATTTTAAAGTCTTGTTTATAGTTAAAAATATATGTTTTATTGTTGTTGTAAAGACACAGAGTAAATAAGTTCAATTTATTAATCAAAGGATATTTATTATTTTCATTTTTCATTAATTTATGATATACAATTTTGTAATAGTAAATAAATTCTAAATTCTGGAGCTTTAATTAATAGAATTCCTTATCTAGTTTGTAAATATTAGAAAAATTAAATTTTTTGTAATAATTTTTAGGATCCAAATTGGCGCTCAATATGAGAAACTCGGTTATGTGCTCATTGAATATATTATTCTAACTATTTTAATTGATAATTGATGAAATTAATGCAATACAGAGCTTGACTTAAGTCGAATCATGAGGAAAATTGATTGATTTTGTTTTAAATCTTGATTTTCTAAATTAAAAGCTATAAGATAGGGAAATTTTTGTGATTTTAGAAATTAAAAATAGTAAACCTATTTTATGAAAGCAATCAAAGAAAACATTAAAGGAAAACAAGTAATTGAAAGCATTTTAAATCTAATATATGTAAGCTTTAAATGCTAAGGAACATTGTAAACTAAGTTTAGAAGTAAAACACAATCAAAGTAAAAGTTGATGTGAAGAAATTGTGTTGATTCTCCAATCATAAATTTGTTTTTATGATTATCATTGATTTCTATGGAATTATCTTGTAATCACAATAATAAATCCATAATAGTTCAAATCAATTACAATCCAATTGCAATTCAAATTCACAACTCAATTCCTAAATCAAGTAATCACTTAAACCTAAAAGTTGAATTATGATGTAAAAGTGACATTTAATCAAATAACCTTATTCATGGTGTTTGTAATGGATTATGATTGGTTACAATTAAATATAAACCATAGAAAACAAGTTTTAATTGGTGAATCAACAATAAAAGCGAAATAGAAATTATGATCAGTTGAAAAATGTAGAAACAATAAAGAAATGAATGGAAAATGAAGAAGAAGAAACAGAAAGTAAAAACAAAAAATTAAGAGAAAAGGAAACAAATATGATCAATGAGAACTTGAATTGATAAACTTCATTCCGTATAAGAAACTCCATGAACAAATTTGGAAGCTAAAAATCACTACTGAAAACTAAGAACCTCATAACTGAACTAGAGAGAATCTTATGAATGGATTATGATTCAAACTTAACTTATGTTTTTGCACATTTGAAGCTCATTTATACAACAACAAAGGTATATGAAGCGTTCAAGGCCCATTTGAGGCCCATAAATATAAAATAGAACTTAATACAACATTATGCAAAACTGATATTTGACTCATCCGCTTAGCGGATTTGTACTTAAATTAGTTACATGAACTCTTCAGAAGAATTTCACTCAACGGATCTACATCTATTCAACGAATTTAAAAGTGGATGACAAAGCGTTGAGCAGATAACTGATCTTTAGATAAAGAATTCTCGGGTCTAATTCCACTCAGCGGTTTCACATCCGACTGAGCAGTTGCTTCGATTCGAAGCGCTCAGCGAATTTACACTCGTTTTAACTTTTATAGTTTCTTTAATTTATCATTCCTACAAAAAAGAAAATAAATAATTAGTAAAAATGTATAATTTAAGCAATAATTTATATTAAGGAATTTTTATTTCAATTTTAAAAAACTAAATTAATTATTAATTAAGAAAATATACTAAATATATATAAGTTATATCAATAAAATCATTGATCAAATGTGTTCATCAATAATCTATCACAATAGTAAATATATTAATACGATAATGATGCTCAATTGTGACAACATCTTTTCGACGACGAGATCGAATTATATCAAAGAAAGAAACACTAATATTAGCTAGGAACTTTTCTTGTTTGCCACAACAAATGTTAGCTTTTTCAAGAAGTGTTTTCCAACCACAATCTCTTAACTTTTGAATTAATGATTTTGTACTAAAACTAAATACATAACATTCAAATCAAAATACTTTGGGATTTTTGTTGCAATACTTGACAAAGTTTGTCAGTGGTTCCCGTAATTTCTCTCATCATGTGTAAAATAAACACAAAATCAAATGACATTAAATATTTAATAGCATATGTAACATCACCTCTTTAAGAATATGTAGATCTATTAATAGCCAAATCTTCAAGAACTTTATTTGTTGGACTAAACATCAATAAAAGGCTACATATTGAATTAAAATGAGAACTCCATCTAGTGTCTCCAGGCCCTTGCAATATGCCAATTTGATTAGCCAACTCCCTGTCTCAATCTCATTTATTTCAATCAAATGAGCTATTTCATTTGCATAAACAACTTGTAATTCAAATATGATTGTTGAATAATTGGCAAGCATACCAAAATTATCAATCATAGTATAGTATTTTGATTAAATAAAAGTCGATTCTACGAGGAACGATTTCAATGAAAATTCCAAATCATATGTTTACTAAGTGGATTAAAACAAATTGGATTTTTCATAAAGATTTGGGTTGAAAATAAATGACAAAGAACTGTAAAATATTTTTAGAAAATATCAAATAAAAGAACTTAGGATTGGTTTAATTCATTTTTCCTCTTTTGTATAATGACTAGGTCAAATTAAGAACATCAATTAACTTATCAATGTTGATGCCACCTACTTAAGTCATTCACATTGATTCCTCGCACATGAAATTCATAAGAAAACCTAATAGACGTCGATTCGTCATACATTTAATAGATTTCCCAACATTAGGTTTAGGATGTTAAGCAATTGGTACATTCATTCCATTCCTAACAATTAATGTAACAAATATTCTTACCATGATCTAGGGTTCAAGATATATTTTTCAATCATATCCCAAACATCAAGAGTAAACGTTCAAAGGCACATAGGATAAGAATAACAACATAAAAAACATAGATTAATATCGCAAAATATCACCAAGATACAAAAGAGTTCAAAGGAAGTGTACTCAATCATAAGAGAATGAAGTTAGCCACTCATGATGGCCATTACAATGATCCAATGAAGAAGAATTCAAGATGAATTGAAGATTGGATGAAAACTCGATCAGCTACTGCCCTTTCTTCTCAAAACCCTAAAAACTTCCCTCTTTTCTCAAAACACATCAAATTTATTTATAGAAAAATTTTGCGTCATTTGCTCAAGCGGATACTTTCGCTCAAGCGAGTATTAATGATTTTTCCTCAAGCGAGAATTTGCTCGCTTGAGCGACTGACTTCCAAAGAGGTTTAACGTATTTTCGCTCAAGCGAGCGTCTACCTCGCTCAAGCGACTAACTTCCAGAAATGTTTAACTTATTTTCGCTCAAGCGAGCGTCTATCTCGCTCGAGCGAATCTTAGGCTGAAAATCTTCTTCCTTTTTTCCAATTTTTCTTCAATTAAATTGAGAATTATGATCCTTGCTCTTGTACCTAGGTACTCTGTAAATTCATCCTACATTGGGAGAAAAATATATTAGAATCAACATAATTTAAGTGGTTAAATAATAATTCAAAGCATAATTTCATCAACTTTTGTCACTTAACAACTTCTCCCAACCTAGAATCTTGCTTGTCCCCAAGCAAAGTACTTTTTCCAAAACAAAATTATCACTTATTATCACCTTCTCTTCCAGAACCTCAACAAAAAAAATAACTTTTCTTCCAGATGCGATGCTCATAACTCCAAATGAAAATAGGATACCAAAAGGATAATTAATCATCAACTATCCTCAGAGAAGCATGATATCTCAAATAGAGTGACATATAATCATCTCTAACTCTCACGGGTAAGTGTTTATCTCATTCAATCACTTCATTTAGATATTCCAATATTGATAATCATCTTCAAGAAATCAACATTTGTTAAGCAAGACTTAAATCAAAGGGTCTTTTAAGGCTTGTAATGGGGCTGGGCTAAGAAAGAATTCATTGGTTTTTCTGGGATATACAAAAGTATTTGAGAAATTGAAATTATATGATGTTTATCATTTCCTCAAGTCAGGTTTCAAACTTCATGCTTTTGTTCTAACATAATGATAGTGAGTTAACAATCTCATCATTTATCATTCACACCACTTTGAATTTTCTTTTCCTTTCGTCATGCTTTGCATTTATCATTTTGGCTTAACCACAATATT